CTCATAGTTCTGTCTTCACTAATTGGTGGCTGGTGCATGATGGGAAGTAAGAGGATAGGACCTGAACCAATGACTTCAAGTTATAAGAAGTGAGATCTTGACTAAATATCAGAAAGAACTTTCTGATGGTAAGTGCTGTTCAACAATGAATTGGACTCACTTGGAATGTGGTAGACTCTCATTCATTTGAGATTTTAAAGCAGAAGTTGGATGGTCATCTGTCATGGATGCATTAGTTGAGATTCCCGTGTTGCATCGGGTCAGACTGGATGACCCTCAAGGTCCCTTCCAACTCTACAATTCCATGATTGTAACCATCCTTTCATTTTTTTGCTACCTAACTGTGCAGGTGCCTTCCCTGAGAGCTTTTTTGCTTGAGAACATATAAAGTACATCATGTACATGCTTGATTCTGTAGAAAGTGCACCTGCTTGTCCAGACCAGAGCCATTTCCCCCTCAAAGCAGTATTTTCAATGAGTTCTCAGACTAAAAATATACTTCAGTCAGCTCCAGTGTGACAAAGTTCATTTACAGAATTTCCATAGTACTCCAGACTTGAAATGTGTAAATTCCAGAAATTCCAGCATTTGCCAGTTGCACTATCAGCTGGAGGTGTAAAAAATCAGCCATGCCTCCATGTAGCAATCTTGTAACACACTGTATGGTGAATGAGACTTTTCGAGGCCCTCTCCAATTGCTAACTTTAACACTCACCCCTAATATATTCTGACTTAAAGTGTGCAACCTTGTTTAAAATGCACTGCTAAAATGCACATTTTCCTGTATTGCTATGTCTGAATGCATGACAACCAGGTTGAAAATCAAATTATCTGTTACAGTGACTATTACAGTGTGAACACTGCCTGCTGTGCTGTGAATGAAACTTGTAAACAAAATTAAGTCTGTTTCTTTTCTGTTTTGTATGGGCACGAACACACAGGCACACACCACCCCTTGCAACAAAACAACAACAACAAAATTGTCACCTTCTGCTGTCCTATTGTCACAGCTGCTCTCCTTTATTATGGATGGCATCTCTAGTGAAAAGTCAGTACGATTCCTGTTTCTTGTACGCAAAGATTCTATCGGAAAAACCTGCCAGTTGCAATGAAGAACGAAAAAACATCATCAACTGACGTCACAGTTTAGTGGCATACCAAATTGCTTTGTATGACTATAAGCTAGCTTTCTCTTACAACACGCAGCCTTTCTCAAACTTGGGTTGGCAGATGTTCTTGAACTACAACTCCAGTAATCCCTGACCACTGGTCATACTGGCTAGGAATGTGGGGAGTTGTAGTCCACCAACATCTGGGGACCCAAGGTTGAGAAAAACTGGAATACGTGTTGCTTTAAAACAAAGAAGCCTGAGGCCCACCACTCCTATCTGCCCAAGGCGGCATGGCCAATGGGATGATGGGAGTTGTAGTCTAAGAACATCTGGAGGACCACCATCCCTGCTTTGTCATGGACAGGTATTTTGATTGTTCTCATTACCCTTCTTACTTCCTAAAATATCTAAATGAGAACACATCAGGTATAACTTACAGAAAATGGTTCCTCTATACACAAACTGATTGCTCTGTATGACCTGCTTCCCTCCTGTCAAATATAGGAAGCTGCCTTGTCCCACATCAGACTATTTGTCCATCAAGCCCAGCACTGGGCAACATCCCCTGGGTCTTGAGCAGAGGACATTCCCATCACTTCCTGCCTGATCCTATTTACTGAGCCTGTTGGAGTTTGGCAAGAAGTATCAGTGGACCTCTTAGTTCAAAGGGAGAGCCATCACAAATAGAAAAATCCTTGAAACAACGGGAAAAGTTCTAATCACAACCATCCGAATCTTAAAATATTTCATTTGCATGGTAGGGAGGCTGTTTAAGGCTCAGTTTTATTGTAGCAGTAGTTTTCAATCTTTCTTTCTTTTTGGTTGGGGATACTTGAGACACAATAATTAGATTATATGAATGTATAACATCAAGGGGAATTCAATTGTCTCGATGCCATACAAGGCAAGGTTATTGGAAGATCTCCGTGAAGGAAGCTGTAAGCGTCACTGTGCTGGATCGACAAACTCTCTTGGCAGCCTCGCTACAGGCTACTGCCAACCGTCAGACGTTCCCAATCACAAATTTGAGAGAGGAAAAACAAACCCCATGAGTTATGGGGGTTACGGTGACCAGGAATTACTGAAAAAGCTATCTGTTACAGAAGGAGTTTGAGGGTTTCTGCATTATTAAAAGCCAAGCAGTCAAACGTGTAACGTGGCATCACCATGTGCAAGGAAAAGCAAGCACTGTCTGTAAATAATGGCAGTACGTTGCAGTTCAGAAGGAGCCAGCAGGCGAATACTTCATAAATAAGACTACAGACTTAACCTCATGTGATGGGTGATTTTGCACCTCTTCTTATTCCTTTGCAGCCATGATGTTGACCAACGCCAACCTTGAAGACACCTAAGTACAGTGGTACCTCTGGTTACGTACTTAATTCGTTCTGGAGGTTTGCTCTTAACCTGAAACTGTTCTTAACCTGAAGCACCACTTTAGCTAATGGGGCCTCCTGCTGCCGCTGTGCCGCCGCCGCACAATTTCTGCTCTCATCCTGAAGCAAAGTTCTTAACCTGAGGTACTATTTCTGGGTTAGCAGAGTCTGTAACCTGAAGCATCTGTAACCTGAAGCATATGTAACCCGAGGTACCACTGTAGTCTTGTCTCAAGAAAGACAAACTACGGCTGGCATTTGATCAACACAAAAGGGTTATACACACCTTATCACACACTTGGTTTCAAGATGTGAGGGTTCATGAGGCAATGCCAACTTGCATGACATGTGCCAGTTGAACCAGCCACACACACACCTTGTTCAGCAACCATGTCAGGATCTTACATGAGGAAGAATCCTAAATGGCCCACAGATTCATCCTTGCCTGAAGGAGCCCTAGACATGTATGTCTTTGGCAGGGAGGTGGGGCTAGGCAGCCTGAGACTCCAACCTTTTCATATGTGCTTTTTAATCCGTGAGGAGGGTTGCTTGAAACACCCTAAAGCAAAGAATCCCATCCCATGAATTCGGTCCCAAACTTTCCAATCAGTTGACTCTTTACAAAGAATAGCTTCTTGGTGAGAAGACAAATGACCAAATCAAATAAACAAGCACAAAATAATAGTTGGGTACAGGGGGCAATGGAGAAATGGCTCTTTCAACTAGACGCTCTATACCTATTACAAACTGATTCTCTATCCCCAATAATAAAACACTTTTATGCTTTTGACTTTAATCCAATTGAGGTTTGGTTAAAAAATGACAAATGAGCTGAGAACTTGGACCAGCATCTTCTTGTTGAGAGAAATGTCCTGCTAATGTGCTTCTCTCTAGTTTCATTCATGCCCGACTAACTTTAGAAGAAAAAGGCAAGCAGCTGTGGCTACTGACAGAGCAAAATCGGCAGCTGCAAGACCGAGGCTCCACTTTTCAGCGGCTGCTTTCTTGCAGAAGGGTCTCTGAGTGTGTGGTCGGCTTCATAACTGTCCTCTTTAGGAAGCACTTAAAACCCATATGTCTGACTCAATTATTGTTCTTGGGATAGGCTGCCATGTTCATCACGGGCTACCTGTCTAGTTAGTTTGCTTTTCTGGTTGCTCTCTTCCTTGCAAGCGGTGTTCACAAAGAGGTTCTTAATGAAACCAATAGACAAAGATTTGAGGGGGGAACCAGCGTGTCTTACAGGAGTGTGTGTGTGTGTGTGTGTGTGTCTGTCTGTGTGTGTGTGTCTGTATCCCTGGATGAGAAGCACTTCTATGTAAAAAAAAAAGAGCCATAATGAGTAGCTTCAGCAGCATATAGTGAACCAGGTTGCCAGGTGGAACCACTGGCCAGCACTGCAAGGCACACTGTGGGAAGTCCTTACTGTCTAAGCCAGTGTTTTTCAACCACTGTTCTGCGGCACACTAGTGTGCCGCGAGATGTTGCCTGGAGTGCCGTGGGAAAAATTGAAAAAATTCAAAAGATTTAAAAAATAAAGTATTTTATAATTTTTCACATTTCTGTTTACTTACTATTTCATAATAAAGTAATTATAAAATACTTTCTTTGTGTTTATTTGATTCCTATTCAAGAGAATTACTTTATATATAGTCAATATAGGCACAGAGTTAATTTTTTTAACATTTTCTAATGGTGGTGTGCCTCGTGATTTTTTTTCATGAAACAAGTGTGCCTTTGCCCCAAAAAGGTTGAAAAACACTGGTCTAAGCCATGGGTAGGCAAACTAAGGCCCGGGGGCCAGATCCAGCCCAATCACCTTCTAAATCTGGCCCGCACATCAGCAAGGTGGGGTGGTGGTCTTGTTGTCTGGGCAGCCCAGGACCTCCATACACACTGCCCAGGCTTGCACCCTGGGGAGGTCACTTTGGTGCTGCCAAAGCAGAAGTTTGAGTTCACCCCAGGAGGCACACTCTATTGTCTTTCGAGACAGATGGTTGCCAACCACAAGCATCAGAGCCACTGCAATGCCAGGGAAAACCCTCTGCTCTCTGCAGTTCCGAGTGGCCATTGGCCATCACTTTTGATTATCACCCGCATCTCTCTTCTGCTGTGTGTACATGCATTGAAAGGGAGCAGTTGCTAACAGGTTCTAAGGTGAAGCATACCTGTGGGGTGCACGCATGTCAAGCCACCACATGCAATCTGCATGCGGTCATCATGTTTCCCCCCTCCTAACACATAAGTGCTTTCTGTACAGGATATTTGGAAAGTCTCAGGCAGTCCTCAGAGGTCATGCATGCCTATTTATCACCCTGCAAGTTGTATACGAGGTGGAACGTTTGGCTAGACTTCTTTCTAGGACACTCATAAAAATAAACGAAGGCAACGGAGCCTTAATTTATTGGATGTTCAGCTTTAGCGGTTGTTCTCGGTAGGTCATTCTCCTTACAAGTGGCCAGGAATTATGACAGCTTGTACTTTCCCATGAGAACTATATGTAGAAACAGGTAATTAGGACTGCCACTCAAGTGTTTTCTAACAGACAGGAGTGCAGCACAGTTGGGGCTTGATGCTAACTGCTCCGACAGGTGAAACCTTTCTCCCAGCACCCTAGATTCAAATGAACAACATTTATCATGGTAAGTTCTTTGCAAAATAGAGGGGAATATTGTGTTATGGGGAAAGGATCAACTAATAGCTCTTCGGAGAATCAAAAGAATAGCAGAGAATTCAAAAGAAAAAACCCTCTTCTGTACTTTCTAAATATTAATAGTTTTGTTTCTGTAGGGAAAATCATGTCTACCGTATCCGTCCCCTTTCTGAATTGTGCGTCCCACAGTTATAGCATTTATTTTAAAAGTATGCTTGTTAAGGAAAATGTTTGTCCCCTCCCCCCCAAAATTGTTTGTTGAATGCTAAATATGATGCTTTAAGTAGTCGCCGTACACAAAAACATTTTTTAGACTGCAATCCTATAGACATTTTCCTGGGGTTTACTTCTGAGTAAACATAGATTGGATTGTGCTGGTGATAGCCATGTGTGTGTGTAAGAGAGAATCCAAAATTGGTTATATCAACTTTGATTTCTGTTTTGTTTTGGAAATTTACCGGAATGTACACCAAAGCTATTTAATTTTACTTTCAGATGAACACAGAGATGAATGTTTGATGGAATTCCCATCTTTTTACACTAGTACTGCTCTGTCAGTCTTTACCAGCCATGTGACACCACATAATGTAACAGGTGACACATTCCCCATCACCTTATTTCTGTGCCAGGAAAAGTTTCTTCTGCTTAATTGTTTCAATTCATCCGGCTGCCAGTACAGAAGCAGAGTCAGGAAAAAGCAAGCAGTTTTGTTCTGGGAGTTTCTTCAGCAATCGTAACACTGAACTTGCGGAAGGGCAATCCTAGCCAAATCATCTCAAAATATGTCCCTTCGATTTGTTGAGATGGTAAAGCATTTATAACTCAGCTCGACAGAGCACAGTGCAATGACACTTATAAACTTGCAGTTACGAAGGGTCCGTCTTTCTTCAGTTTGCAAGAATACAATGCCCCTTATTTTCCAAAAATTACCTGGCTGGAGTAAATTACAGTAGCAATAATTTAACAACTGTGGGAGAGACCATAAAACTTTCTGCCCCTTATTAACTACTGTGTGACTATTAGGTTTATGGAGGATGTTAACATTGCACAATAGGAGGAGAGAGGGGGAAACCCCCATTGTAAACAGGCCTCCAAACTGTTGGAAAGCAATTTTCCCCATGAGAGGTAAAGGGGGCCTTGCCAACTTCTCTGAGGTATGTGAGGGGTCATGCGCCAATCATCTAAAGCAAGTCAATTCCCTGCTGCTAAGTAAATAAACTTAATTGCAAATTTGTGGCGTACTGAGACGTTTTAAAGTAAGCACGCCATCCAGAACGCCGAAATCTCCATTCTAAGTTCATGGAGAAAGAAAACGGCCTCTTTAAAAATCAGCTTGCTGCTCACGGCTCCCCTGAACAGTGCCTCCAGGCAAGTGGTTAAAAATACGGTTTTTATAAACAAACCTGACATTGCAAACTTAATGCAAAACCCTATGCATATATCATAACTTACGCGTTCGCAACTTGTTTAAATTAGAGCCAGAAAGAGGGTGTGTGTGTGTGTGTGTGTGTGTGTGTGTGTGTGTGTGTAGGGAGGGAGCAAGCAAGAAGGAAACAGAATTGGCAGATTAACTCTTTCTTAAACAATGCTAACAAGGCGGTAGTGTACTTTGCAGCTTCAGCTGTGGCTCCACTAGCTGTGCTCTGGTTATTGGTCTCCTATGTTTCTACGTTTAAGGATGTCCCAGCGCTTTTTGTTCACAGCTCCTCTATACAGAGTTCAGCTCAGCTCTGAGAAAAGGGGTGCGCGCGTGTCTTTCCCCCCTTTCCCCCCACTTCCATTTACCAAAGCCTATTACTGTCATATTGGCACAGTCACAGGAATCTAAGGGGATGTTCACATGAGTCTTGGAATGCTGTGGGACCATTCTGCATCTGCTGCCTTTTCTGTTCACAATTGAGTTGGGGCAGGGCTGCCTTCACCTGATAATTCGCTGCCCCATGCCAAACTCCAACTCAGTGAAGTGGTCGTCGGCGCATGGGCCATCACCTGCCATAGCTGTCAGCTTACAGATTTGAAAATAAGGGACCAGCAGCCTCGAAAATAAGGGATCAGCAGCCAAAATAAGGGATTTTGCTATTGTAAAGAGTTACATACATTGGTAGGATTGACAGATGGTGTCAATCCGGCATGAGGCAGTTGCGGCGGCGCCACGGCTGCTGAAGCGCCGCCCTTCTGCGTCCCTCCCCATCCCCTCCTCTTCCTCCTCCCTCAGGCCGCCTCCTCAGCTGCCACCACCGCTGCTTCCCTCCTGAGCCGGGCGAGCATGAAAACTAGGAAATTTAAGGGACATCATCAATAAGGGACAGCAGCGGGACATGGTGCTAGGATAAGGGAATTTCCCACCAAATAAGGGACAGTTGACAGCTATGTCACCTGCACATACGCAAAAGCCTCCTAAACTGTTCACACCACAGTGTAACTACACCTTCCATTTTCTGGAAGCTGGTTTGAGGTTAGGTGCATCAGTGGGGGGCATTTCTCAAGCCACAGATGGATTGTGGCTAATATAATGTGAAGCCGGCTTCAAACTCCAGTGGACGGAGTGTGCTGGAAATGCAGCAAATACTGATGTAAATGCAACCAGAGTGGGAAGGTACAGGATTATTATTTTTTTGTTCTTGTCTTCAAAGGAACCCATGCTGTTCAGCTGAAGTGTTCTTGGCTAGAGTTAAGTAGAATAAATTTCTTTTTAAAAGCCACCAAACAAAGCATAATTTAACTGAATAAAAACAGTCTATTGTGTAAACTCAGAAATGTTTCCAGATCTGTTTTATAGAAGCAAAATCTAGAAGTTCTGTTAGTCAATCTGCATCTGAGCAAAGCTGGGCTTGAGCATCAAGCCATTAGATTTGTATGTAGATTTGATTCATTTCACCATACCAGCAGAAGGACACCATGATGTGATTCACAAATATTAAACCATAGTTTAAAGCAAACTGTTGCTGTTCTTTAATGTGAAAAAGCAGCATACTGGATCCTACTGCTCAAAAGTTCCCATTGCTGTGCCTTGTCCAGACCTGGATTCATGGTTCATTTGTTCCAAACAAACCATGAGTGGTAGCTGATATTTGTTTGTGGATTACTGCTTGTGCATACCCTCCAACATTTCTCGGATGAAAATAGGGCCGTCCCATTCCATAATGATAATTTTACTATTTATACCTCACACATCTTACTGGGTTGCCCAACCATTCTGGGCAGCTTCCAACATATATAAAAACATAATAAAACGTTAAACATTAAAAAATTTCCCTATACAGGAATGGCTTCAGATGGTTCAGGGGTCAGATAACTCCATAAAGGTAAAGGTCCAGTCATGGCCGACTCTGGGGTTGCAGTGCTCATCTTGCTTTATTGGCCGAGGGAGCCAGCGTACAGCTTCTGGGTTATGTGGCCAGCATGACTAAGCCGCTTCTGGCGAACCAGAGCAGCGCACGGAAACACCGTTTACCTTCCCGCCGGAGTGGTACCTGTTTATCTACTTGTACTTTGACGTGCTTTCGAACTGCTAGGTTGGCAGGAGCAGGGACCGAGCAACAGGAGCTCACCCCGTTGTGGGGATTTGAACCGCCGACCTTCTGATTGACAAGTCCTAGGCTCTGTGGTTTAACAGAAAAATCGCTTGGGCCTATTACTGAATTATACTGAAAAGCAAAGCAAACACGCCTGCTGGAAGCCAGGAAGGGAAGAAACCGAGAAGTATCTGGTTGAAAGAAACCGAGAAGTATCTGGTTAAAAAGAACCTTGTACAAAGCTCTAATGGTCAAACAGTTGATTGTACTTACATATTTGTGTGTGTGTGTATGAATTAAAAGCACGCTTTTTATTTTTTTAAAGGGACATTTGATGGAGCAAGTAAGCTAACAGATGGACTTCACAGGTTCTTGTTAACACCTCCATATATGTGTGTGTGAGAGAGTGGTACAGTGGTGCCCCGCAAGACGAATGCCTCGCAAGACGAAAAACCCGCTAGACGAAAGGGTTTTCCGTTTCTGAGTTGCTTCGCAAGACGATTTTCCCTATGGGCTTGCTTCGCAAGATGGAAACGTCTTGCGAGTCTTGCGATTTTTTTCACTCCCCCCCTTTTTCTAAGCTGCTAAGCCACTAATAGCCTTTTAGCCGCTAAGCCGCTAAGCCTTTAATAGCCGCTAAGCCGCTAAACCGCTAATAGCGCAAATCTGCTAAGCCGCTAATAGGGTTGCTTTGCAAGACGAAAAAACCGCTAGACGAAGAGACTCGCGGAACGGATTCTTTTCGTCTTGCGAGGCACCACTGTATACCCTTCTTCATCATAAGATCTCAGGCCGGTTCACAGAATCAAATGCAGGATAAAAACAAGTAAATAACTGCAGCAAAACAGCAAAACAATAACCCCACCCCCTTCCCACAGACACATTTAAAAGGCTGTAGAATATTAATCAGCATTATATATATATATATATATATATATATATATATATATATGCTTTCGTAGATTTTCACGGGTACAGGAATGCAGGTTTTGGTGTCCTCGGGTGTCTTCCCGTGTAAAAGTTGGGGTGTCTAGGCGACGTTTCGACGAGGTCTCACTCGTCATCTTCAGGCTGGTGCTTTCGGCTTCTTGTTACTGGAACAGAGCAGGATCTCAGTGTTTGAGTTCCTATAAATACTGTTGAGGGGGTGTGGTGTATAGCCTCCAATGTTCTGGGCAGAGAGGAAGTTCCCAGGCTAGTGTGCCTTTTCTTCTTTTGTTCCTTAATTACTTGAGGGATATCTTGAGTGATTTCTTGAGTGATATTCTGAGTACCACTTAGGTGGGTCATTAGGTGTGGATTAGTTGCTAAAGCCTTCGTGTCTTGACCTCTTGAGCTTTGTGAAGAGTTTTTCTGAGAAGATGGCTGTACTGCACTTAGTTGTGCTCTGGCTTGGCTTCGTGTATAGGGGCGAGCTGTGGTTTTGTGTCCTGTGCCAGCCAGATCTGTGTAGGGATTGCAGGGGGGTGCAGCA